GTGAAACATCGCGTGTATATGGAACGCCGTATCTAGTACGTTAGTACATAGATACCGTTGTTATTTGTAAAGGTTATGATTTATAAGCGGAGTTTCACAGTTGTACAAATATGAATCGATGAATGTCAAAGCATTGACGTCAGTTTGTTAACAAATTATGTTGACTATTTATTCAACCTTCGTTTACCACCTGATCCACGACTTATTCACTCCGTCCCTGGGTATCATAAAAAAACTTGAGTTATTCCCATGTGATCCCCTGTAACTGATCCTCCGCCAATTTTATATCCGGACCAATCCATACCAAACGGATCCTCTCATTGTATTCGTAAGGTAGGTATATTCAAGAAAAAAGAAGTTTTAAAATAAAATATTAATTTATTGAGCAATTTTGATCAATTGTTATAATTATCACAGACAATCAATGGTTTTTTTTAACAGGTTTAGTTACAAAAAAAACATTATTATGTTATGTAAAACATATTATATGGGGTTCTAGGGAACCAGATGAAATAGACAAATATAGGGAATTTTGTAATAATAAACTAAAATACAATACAACCCTCAAATACATCTTCTTGTTGACTGTATCACAGTATCTAATAAAATAAGCTTGGAAGTACCAAGGTATCAGGAGGGAATAAAATATTAGTATTTATTCTTGATCTCCTACATACGGGATCCGATGGGAATAGAAAGTAATATAAGGGAGGCAGGGGATCAGATCAGAATTAAATAATAAACCTAATGACGTTTTAATAACAATAATATGTTTATTAACAAAACATGGCGCTTTTGAGAGGACTGCGTCAACAATTTTATACTCGATAATATTTGCACAAATGTTATTTAGAGTTTATGGAAAATTTATATAATTTCAATATTTATCATAAATCAGGTACAGCTAGCTTCGGAAGTTGTTATTAAATTATTTAATTAATTCAATATCATGATCTTGTTTACTACTGTGGTATTTTAAACATGTTTTGTGATAATACTGCACAGATTATTGTTGACGCAAAGACAAAAAAATACAAAAAAAAATTTTAGCGACATTTTCGCCTAACGCAGTCCGCGTTAGATTAGATTACCGCTCTCTCTAGAGGGTCGAGCCCCCCGAGCATTCATCTAGTGTTACGCTGAACAAATCAAATCATTTATTTGAGAAACTTGGTGGCCAAGATAACAAATAGTAGAATAGGTACGAAAATGTTCGCCAGAAAATATTCTAGGCATGCAAAAAATTGGTCGTCACATGATTGCATTGAACTAAAACTATAATTATTAATACGAAGGTCGAACACTTAGAGAAAAAGTCGAAAAGATTCGAACCGATGTCTTCTAGCAAACCGGACGCCAAGCCAACTAAGCCACGGAACGAACCAGCGGACCTTACGAATTTTTCCATGTGCTTCTTGCCGGATCTTTGTATTTGGTTTTCAACAATTAACGTAACAAACTAGTTTAGTAATTTCACAAAAAAGAATTGAATATCAATCAATAAAAAATTTAAAATAATAATTAATTAGTTATACTATAACGTCTGTTTAAAGGTAAAACCACATAAGTGACATTTCCCACAAAAAGTCGCGCGACGCACACACACACTCACTCATACACTCAACATAGTCCCGCACTAGGGAAACCCTGTGTCGCGGGTGCCATGGACACACGCATAGACAACCACAAATTACACCCAAATTCACGATAGAAATAAATGTAGGCCATACAAATATTTCTCCCGCCCCGGGAATCGAACCCGGGGACCACGGACGTTAGACCACGGAGGCAGTCTATAATTTATATAGCTATGGTAAGAAAATCACTGTCTTTCTGCACGTGAAACTCAATAACAAAAAAGCTATAAATTTAATAAGAGTTATATCTGTAGAAAGATTGTGAATTTCTTGCAACTGGTACATAATTTCGAGATTTTTGTAGAAAATGTCACTTATATGATTTTACCTTTAAGCAGATGATAATATACTTTATCTTTCAATCATTCGTATAATTTTGTTTCAATAATTTTATATGTGTGTTTTTAATGTCATTTGGTACTCTGTTACAAATTCTAACACACATACACAAACAAATTTTGGTGACATTTCTCCATCGTACGTACTTCAAAAAAGAGCAGTCAGTTAGGATCTTCATAACCTCGTGAGTTGATGTCAAAGATGACACCTTGGTGCTTGCCGGTGGGGAGGACTTCGAGAAGACCATCCGGCTTACTGAACTAGAGGCTGTGGTTCCACAAACTCCCGAGACTGAGTAAACCGTCCAGCTTCTCCATTCACGTTGGTAACGTCGACGTGCAGGTGGGGCGGCACTTAAATTACTTGTCCTTCATCCTGGCACAGACAGCCGCTACGACTTCGAGGAGCATTTCCAACGCCTGCTTCCCCGGATTAATAGGGTAGAGGGTGCATAGCACCGGTTGCTGTCCAATCTGGGGGGCCCTCTGGAGAGAGTTTGCCGCTTATACGTTAGGGTAGTGCGATTCGAGACCCGGGGCGCCCATAAGGTCACACCGACAACGGGCGGCCGGCGCTGCAGAGCCATGTTCAATGGCATGCCGTATGGCCATTAGGATCGCATGAGGATACCACACAGTATCCTTCAACGCGGCTACTGTCCTGGCGCGGTTTGACGGAGATGGACGCCTCCGTCAAGTGCATGAAGCTGCGCCGCTGGAAGGACGATGACAGGAGCGCCGACGAGCGCTAGAGAAGTGGCGTGAGAGGCTGGATTTCGTGCCAGCGCGTCGTTGGCTCGATACAACCCGATCTCCGAAGTCTTGTCGACCCAGCGGAACTGCGTTACGTTCCGGCTGACACAAATACTCAGATGAGCTTAAGAGCGGTACAACCTGGTTGCCCGGATCGGGCGAGATTTCCCTTCGCTAGATATAGTTGCGGTTATGCTATTATAAATCTTAGATAGTTTACAAATGTACCCAAATTAGACAAGAGATGTCGCAAATATAAACGAAATCAATCAATTACTGGTTATAGCTTGATTTATCTTGAATGTACTTTTTTATTTATAGGATTTAGGCGTATACATACAATTACAACGAAATTGTAAAATGTCATGTTTATAGAAAAAAATTAACTTTTCAAGTAACGAAATGTAATTTTTGAATCAAGTGCTCTGGGACTGGGTGCTTTGAAAGCATAGCGTTGCGATAACGACGCACCACACTGTCAGGCCGTGGGGCTTCGCTCTAAGTGTAATGAATGAATAAATATATGTAAGTATAATTATTTCAAACTCTTGATAATGGTAATGCCCGTCTCGATGACTGTATTATTATGGTAAATGTAAAGCAATACAATGTAAAGAATTACAATTTAAATGATAATATGGAATTCATTCTCTGGTACAAATATTGTAGTTCTAATTTACATTATTGTCGATGACTAAGGATGGTGCGTACACACTTTTCTTCGGCAATATTTTCGTCGGTCTTCTTTGAGAAGGGTTGACTTAGGTTTTTTTATGATACTAAGTGAGTGCACGAACAAGTCGTGCGCCTGGTGGTAAACGACTCGCCTGTGTATAACATAATTATATCTTAATTTCTTAAAAACATGGTTTCTTAAACAATAGTGGCTGGAGTCTCCTTTTGAGCCTGTGTCAGGAGGCATCGCTCTTCATTCACATTCACGCTACACGAATTAAATTACATAAACCAAGATAACAAAAATATTAAAATTATCGAGCGTGTGTGTGTGTGTGTGTGTATGTGTGTATGTGTGTGTGTGTGTGTGTGTGTGTGTGTGTGTGTGTGTGTGTGTAGCTATACAGTTTTAGAATAGAATAGAATAGAACATAATCATTTATTTCGGACCATGATCCATAGTAATGTTAGTAATACAGTAAATTTTTCTTACGTGCTATGGTTAGTACAATACAAAATTACTTAATTCTAGTGAAATGCCACGTCTATACCACTACCCTACACACGTGTAGTTGCACCCAATGTAGTTGGTAGGGGCAGTCCAGCCCGTTGGCAAAGACGGCTAGGATGTCATTAGCGCTGCCGCGCACACGCATCATGAGTGAGGCAGCCATAGATAGGCAGCCTTCTTGCGCATAATGGCATGAAAGCCGGACATGGACATGGGCCTTCTATATGACATTATGCGTGGACGTTTGAATTGCCCAGAATTGCTGGAGAGCGTATCACTACGGGTATCTTTACGTCGCACTAGACATACGACACTTTTTCCAAGTCCCCTTCCACCCCACGAACTACGGCAAGAATGCTATTCTCACGCGTATTCTTCGAAATTATAATAACCAATTTGAACATATTGACCCCTTCGTAGATTCTAAACACACTGCTTCAAAACAAACGTTAAATTAAAACTATCAAACGATTAGTTAGCTGCACTCAAATATCGTTTGGTCATTAGCACAATATACTCAAGGTTCGCAGTCTTACAAAATGGTAGTATGACATTATTAAACACACAATAGTTTTGTTAATATATGTTTAATGTATTATGTGTATGCATTATTGTATTATTAATATGTATTGATATTCATGCACTATTTACCTTATTTTAATGTTCTCTTTCTCTCACTTTCTCGTTTGTTTTTCTTTTATCACAGATAGGATTATATAATTTCATTAAAACTTATTCATTCCCATTTTTGTTTTTCCTTTTAATGTTATACGTCTATTTCTGTAATTATTTTAGTGGATAACTGTAATTGGCCTATCCAAAAATGTAACGGTTACTATTGTATTAAGTATGGCTGTTGTTGTCCCAAATAAAATAAAATAAAATTCTATATTACAAAAGAATATACTGTTCACCATTCAACTAAGAAACTTGCTTTAGATTAACAATGTATACACAGGAATTTACAACGATGTCGTTATACAGTATAAACCAAATATTGTGTCTTAAATTTTACCGTCGAGTGTGTAAACACGGTCTCAAGGAAAAATTGTAAAAACGCAAAATTAAAATGCGATCTTCAGTCGTGTAGAGGGTTCTGTGACGGGCAGTCCCTAAAATAATTAACGTAATTAAAATAATAACATTTAATAACCATGAAGACTTACTTATTTAGCTTCGTCTTATTTGTTTCGGTAAGATATTATTTTTTATTATTTTTTCAATAAAATGTTCTGCCTTGTTTAAGTTAATTGAATATCACGTTGTTTTACTATCATGATATTAAATGATTTTTTGTGCAATTGCTCGACTAGTTTGTTATAACCACTAGATTGTTTTATTTTTTTATGACCTTTTTTTGCCTTAGCACCATCTTTAAAAAAAATCTATTTCTTCACTTCAAGGCACTCTGGTTCCGTCGTTTTTATTATTAAAATGTTCTGACTTGAACATTATAAATAAATAACGGTTTTTTTTCTCTATGATATCAAGTGACGGGACGAATAGACGAACAAGTCGTGCGCCTGGTGGTAAGCGACACGCCAGTCCATAACAGTTGCAGTGCCGCTAGTTTTAACTCATAAGATCTGAGAAGCACTGGGTAGAATGTTTAGGATAATTATAGCCTAATTTGGCTGGTTGGTGCGAATTGAAGACTTTTCACGTTTTTAACTGCCTCTGTGGCGAAACGGTTATCACTTTGGTCTGCCACGCAGAGGTCCTGAGTTCAATTCCCGGACCGGGAGAAATATTTTACTGAATTGCAATGATTGTGCTGAATTTAAGAAATTATAGGCCAGGGTTCCGCCCCTATGTTGTAGATATACCCAAGAGTAGCACGAAGCGTTACGCCTCCACAGTTATGTGGCGAACGGCTATGGAATGGAATTCCTACCTGCAGACTTATTCCCTGAACGTTATGACTTTGGCTTTTTCAAGCCGAGAGTGAACAGGCATTATTTGTATGCATGCTCTATCGTTGACTTCATCTCACTTTCCATTAGGTGAGATGGAGGTCAAATGCGCACTTACATTTTATAAAAAAAACTCCAGTCTCTTGAAAAAGCCTTTCATTTACAATTTCTTTTTGTAACTTAGCCTATTACTTTAGTGGAAATCCTTTGTAGAGGCAATAATGATGATTGTGATTAGATGAAATCCAATTAATAGGATTCCCTAATTTGCCACTCTTAGGGTCGTATTCCAGAACTCTACTCAATGCTTAAGTCAGGACTTGAGTATGATTTAAAGCATTGAAAATCATACTCAAGTCCTTGCCATTAGGGTCGTATTTCCAGTGCTTGAAATCATACTCAAGTCTGCTCAAGTCCTGACTTGAGCATTGAGTAGAGTTCTGGAATACGACCCTTAGTGGTGGCAAATTAAATATTAGCTTTATAATATTAGTTTGAATAATGTTAAGGGTTGCGTAAATTGATGGAACTCAGATGGAGTCCCGGTGATACCTAAATTCATTTCCATTAATTTGCCACACACACAAAAAAATAAAATACACATAAATATTTGTTATTACAAAAAAAAAGAAACCGTCTTCAAACTTTGCTTACATTACATAATATTATGTACATACACACAATGTTCTAAGTCTATGATACACACTGAAGCTAAAAAGTTTGCGGAAAGTGCGTGAAATCAATCCTACTTAGTACAACAACAACCCTACTACTATCATTTCCTACTTAGCCACTCTTAGAGGTGGAATATTTTCTGCAAATTTAAATGGTATCTATATTGAGGTACTTTCTTTCCAGCGAAAGAGAATCATCAAAATTGCTTCACAAAGGCCGACTTCAAAAAAGGAGGAGGTTCACAATTGGACTGTATTTCTTTTTTGTTTGTATATTACGCGATTGCATTTGCGAACCGATTTCGATGATTATTTATTTGTTGGAAAGAGGGTACCTTAGTTGTAGTCTCATTTAAACTTGAAGAAAATGTTCCACCTCTAAAGGTGGTATATTCCGGTTTGTTGGATTTCACCCACTTTCCGTTATCCGAATTCAACAAAACTTGGAAAATAGATGTAATACCACAAACTATTGAAATATTTTTTTTTAAATAAAAAACTTATAATTATTAAGCATACCTACGAATTTATTTAATATCTATAGTTTTTTATTATTTACAGGTTGTCGCAATTTCCTGTAAGAAAAGTAAGTAGTAAATTAATTATGTTTATAAATTTAATCGCTATTGACGTCACAGATAACTTCATTGTTCATAACTTCAACTTAATTGCAAACACCTGACTCACGATTCTCTAGTAATAAATTTCGTAGACTGTCAATGATGTTACATACTGTGTCTATAAATTTTGAACACATTGTATATTGTTTCAATTGTCAAACAGAAACCGAAACAATGAAGTTATTGCAAACCAAATTTCCCGATCGCATAATTTCGCGAAATTGAACCGTTAAATATCCAGCTCGACCATGTGATTTAACACCGCTGGATTATTTTTTATGAGGTTATGTTAAAGACAGAGTCTTTAAGGAGCCAATCGAATCGATTGCAGCCTTAAAACTCAAAATTCGTGAAGTGATTAACGAATTAGACTCACCATTTTGTCAAAAAGTGATTAAAAATGTTGATGAAAGAATCGACATCTGTTACTGTGGTCGTGGTGGACATTTATCAGATATCATTTTTCATTAACAATTGCAAAACCTTACTTTTTTAATATAATAAGAATTGGAATCATTGTCATCTAAATTTATTGTTTTACTTTGATTTATAAAACAAAGTTCTTGTTGAAAAACCCTTTACAATGTTTTTATGAGAACTAATTTCATATTATTATTAACACTGGCGGATTTGCAGTCTTTGCTGCCGTAGGCCTCAGGCCATGTAGGCAGTACCAGCCGCCCCTTTCTCTTTTCAGTTTACGAGGCGCACGCCAGTAAAGCGCCTAGCCGGCATGATTTTTTCCGATATCTTCAACATTTATCGTCATATTTCAGCCAATTTACACAAAACCTAAGTAAATTATACACCTAAACCTTCCTCATGAATCACTCTATTTATTGGTGGAAACCTCATGAAAATCGGTTCAGTAGTTTTCGAGTTTATCGCGATCAGATAGACAGACGATTGATGGGGCCGCAACATCTTCGTCTTTCGCTGAAAGGTCCCTTTTCTGCAGAGACTCGGAGCAAGATGTAGCGGACACAGGCGAACCAACGAATGTCGTACACTTCCTCTTCACGTTGTATTAATATCTGCAACTCGTGAAGTACCATTCCGATGGTACTGGCTCCGGCCAGAGAAATAGCCTCTGGACTCGTGGTGAAACATGGTCTTCTTGTAGGAGCACTAAATCACATCAAGTTCAAATGAAATTGACTAAACTTAGTAGCAGTAGAGCTCCTTGTGAAAGAGTTCGTCCAGGGAAGTACTGCCACCTTACCTGTTTCTGTCGCCAAGCAGTAATGAGACCATTACTGGGTTTGAAAACTAAGGGTGCTGGTGAAATAACAGGCAACATGGAACTTGTCAACTTATGTTTCAGGGTGACGGGCACAGTGGCAGTGCCCCTCTGATCTTTGTATTTTTCTGAGTGGTACTGCAACTGTTATGGAGGCGTGTCGCTTACCACCAGGCGCACAACTTGTTAGTCCGGTCACTTGGTATCATAAGAAAAAGTAAACTTCATTATTTGTTTTTAGGGCCGAAGTTTTGTAAATTGGATTCAGACACTGGGCCTTGTTATGGTGCTTTTACCAGGTTAGTTCTTTTATTTTGTTATATTAATTTGATTCGCTTTAAGTCAGACAATTCAATCAAAAGAGATAACAGTCATGTTTCAAAAAAGTAAATAAATAAAAATATCTGGCACACTGGGCCACGTTATGTACTGGTACTTGGTAAGTTTTTGTATTTAGTAACATTAAGGTTATTTGATTTTAAATTCACAGCCTAAATGTGTATAAAATATATATTTTATTTACCTCGACGTTCCGGACGTATTGCAACATTACGTCCATTGTCTCGAGGGGACTGAAAAGGCGGGTGTCAACATCTTCTTACCGTACGAGTTTTTCTAACTACCCGCACTCACGACGTTGTGTGTTGGTCTAGTGACAACCGTAGCACACCCCGGACGCTCCACACAACAGTCGAAAGTTATTTAACTACTACGACTACATACAGCAAGGCGCAAATATGTGCATGAAGTAGCAGAGTTGCCCATTACTTTCTCATAGTATTACGCGACTAGAACGGCAACATAGCGACAATTCCTAATAACTTCTAATAACTACACATATTCAGTAGGTATTTATATCGATATAATATTATATTTTTCATGAATTCACTAACTAAAATAATATTGAAGAATTTTTTTTCTAATATCAAAAGCACCACAAAGCAAAATGTTATATTTTGGACAGATACTTTTAAATAAGGTAACCAAGGTATTTGAAATTACTTGTCTGAGTTTATCATTACCTAGTTAATTCACTACATAATATGTATCGGCAATACAAATTGAAAACTCGAGAACTTTGTCTACTAGTTCACGAAAATCTCTCATTATATTGATATAATCTTTATTATACATTTTTTTTTGCACTGAATAAATGAAGAAAACAATAACTCAATGAGTATCAGGCATTAGTTTTTTTTTAGTTACTTCGTTTCATCTTTCGGAAAATGATGATTAACAGCCGTACACAGCAGAATTCACGACCATTATAAATAGTAACGTACAATGATGTAATATATTAGCATACAAGTTTCGTAATGAATAAATGAAAACTATGTTCAAATATCAAGCCCTTTTGGCGCGGAAACGGCTCGCCGACAGCCTCGTTGCCGTTCCGTCGATGTGACCGTTAATGTGAGGGGTGTGGTGCGGTATCTAAAGGTAGAGGAGAGTGTCCATTCTCGTAACTTTTTTGTTCACTGACCATAGTGCACGGACATTGTAATACGTCCGAAACGTCGTGGTAATTAAAATATGTTTTTATACAAGATTAAGTTCCGTATTTAAATCAAATAATGTGTGAAAGTCGTGACAATTTGAATCGGTGTAATATTAAGTTTATTTACGTTACTATCGGCAATTCAACCTAATGCACAAAAAGAAATATCAAAAAATATAGTGCCAAAAACTGGTAACAGTTCGAACTGTAAAGTCAGAAAGGATTCTATTGATTTACATAATTGACGTTAAAAGTACGAGGTTTTGCCACTTGCACGTGAATTCTATTAGCAGATTTTGAAAAACTCGAGCCCTAAGGCCCGAAGTCAATGGAGTAAAGCACATAAGTCAAAATCCAACATCATTCATTTCAATTTTTGTTTAATATTATTTTTTTAAATTAATACGTCCTACGACTAAAGTACATAAGTCAAATTCATTTATTACTTCATTAATTTGTAACTTCAATTCTAGTGGATTTTTTAAATATATCTCTTCCCATTTTCCGACATTATAGACGACACAAAAAATATAATTATATATTAAAAATTGAGCACGTTTTTGACTTATCGTCGCCTTACTTTCTCAATCTCGTATATTATAAACACTGATTATCGGAGACGGCAAAACTTTCTATTTATTTTAAATTTCTTATCAAGAGTGTTCATTTGAATGCATTACTTTAAGAATAAGTAAAGGCCAGTGTGTGAATAGGAAGGACTTGTGAAATCAGCCTGCAAAATTTGTATATACAATCCATTTTTGCATTTCAGTAACTCTGTGCTTTATGATACGAGTTTGAATAGTTATTACGAGTAGGGATGCCGCTTACGTTATCACAAGCATCCGCAGCCGCGGTACATCCGCATATTTTTTTAAAACTATATTTATAAAATGTCCTAAAAGGTTTGTTTTTCGTTGGATATTTCAGATATTACTGGGACGAAAAGACGAAAGATTGTCTAAAATTCAGTTACGGAGGATGCGGTGGAAACAAAAACAATTTTGAAACCGAAGACGCATGCCGATCCACGTGCGGCCCTTGTTAGTTTATGGCCAATACTTAATAATATTAATTACTAACAATAATTTCAGTAGCAGCAGAGCTTCTTGTGAAAGAGTTTGTCCAGGGAAGTGCTGCCACCTTACCTGTTACTGCCACAAGCAGTAATTAGAGCTGGTGAAATAACAGGCAGATGTTGTCTACTTACGTCACAGGGTGATGGGCGCAGTGGCAATGCTCCTCATACTAAGAATACTTACTGCGAGTAGCCCAAACTAAACTTTCATCTCATATTTCACCTCCATTACGATATATTTTTGTGACAAAAAGAAGCCTATCACCTTTTCTATACGTGACACCATTCCATTGCCAATGACTCCATTCCACCTGCCGTAACATGGAAAATGGAATCCAAACGTGAAGGAGCCTAGTGCACTGTTGATACAATCACTACCCTAACCACCTCCACCCTGCATGCCTACAAGATGCATCTTCACGCCTCGTTTGAAGGACCCCATGTCGTAAGACGGAGGGAATACGTGCCCTGGAAGGTAGTGCCATTTATCAAATGTGCGACAGAGGAAGGTCAACCTAACCAAACCTTTTATACTGTACTGTAATATTGTTAGTTGTAAAGCGGTGACTACGGAGTCTAGCACGCGTGCTTTGGAGCAGGAAAGGGAAGGACGGGATAAGGTGGAACAGTTCTTCGGAGCACTCGCCATTACATCCGATAAAAGGCGCTAAGTGACGTAACGTCTCTACGCAGTTGTAGAGGTTGAAGGTGTGATGAGACCTTTTCATCGCCAATAATTCGTGGGGCGCGACGTTGCAAACTGTCCAAGGTATCGAGACGGTACTTGGTGGAGCCATCCCAGAGGTGCGAACAATACTCGACGCAAGACCTAACCTGTGTTTTGTACAACATACATAGTTGGTCAGGCGTGAAGAAACAACGCACCTTGTTCAGGACATCGAGTTTTCAAAAGAAAACAGATAGTGTAGTAGCATTTACAATATTAGTTTGAATTACAACACCACTACCAAAAGCAATGGACAGAGCGACTAAGCCGAACATACGATTAAAACATACTTTAAGGGATAACAGGAGTTTTAATGTCCTCGGAATATGCTGGGCATAATTTGTAGTTTAACTTACTTATTACAAATAATTTCGATTTGTAAAAATGGGAGCATTAGGCGAGATAGACTAATTTTCTTTTGATTTCGCCAGACTCAATTCTCTAGTTGACCACTCAATGACTTCCATAATTAGATTAGATATACAAAAACAAACTATTAAATAGGATAACATAACTTTTTACAAAAAAACTGACTTCGAAAATTCGTGGAATTAGGTACATCTATTTGCCAAGTCTTATTAAAATCGGTTACCGGAAAGTACGCGAAAAGGGATTCATCCTATAGTTTGCCAAAACTAGAAGATATTATTTTACTAAAGTTGTTGTTATCATTATTACGGTAATAAATTAAGTACGATTATATTTTTTGTTTCGCATATTGATCACAATTGCACAAGTAAACTTTTTATATTTCATATTTTTTTATTTATTTTCAGCTAGTACTACAGATGTTTGTAGTTTGCCTGCGGTAACAGGGCCATGTCGTGCTGCTATTCCCAGGTTAGTTTGCCTTATTTGCGTATATTAAGTTCATGTTAAACTTCATGGACCCCTTTTCATTTAAGATGCTATGTTATTTAGAAAAAGACAATCCTTATGATTGAGGCTTTCGATCAGTGTAGTAAAATTACAGGTTTTTTTTTCATATTTGGCGGGTTCGATTTCCGAATCACACAGGCGATTAGTTAAATAATGTATTGCTTTGAAACGATGTTCTTCATTTCTTCTAGACTGTGGCTAGTAAATGCCATTGAAGTTGTTTAATTATTATAGAAAGTTAGAAATTTATTCTAATAGGCTTATTTTCATTTCCCCTTTTCAGATACTATTGGGATAAACAGGCGAAAGATTGTCTGAAATTCTCTTACGGAGGATGTGACGGTAACGGAAACAATTTTGAAACTGAAGACGCATGCCGTGCCAAGTGCGGCCCCGGTTAGTTCATATTCATATTATAGCACCGGTTTCGTTATAATTCGGTTTTCGATGTAATGAAAATTCGAACAAGCGTTATTTCCGAAAAAAAACATTTGTGATAGGTTACCCATTTGGTATATTTTCGTAGTTGGAGTGGTTTATATATATAAATAAATACTGGCGAATTTGAAAAAATATGTAAAGTCAGATTAGTTGGACAAAATTTTAGAAAAGGGCGAGACAGACCGACTTCAACAGCCAACCTCTCAATTGTTCTCAAATATTTGCGACTGGGTGACCACCGTTCTTTCGTTGCACCCAAATTATGTTTCAGAATTGCTCAAGTAACATTTTTGTATTTATTTTCAGCTACTACAGATGTTTGTAGTTTGCCTGCGGTAACAGGGCCATGTCGTGCTGCTATACCCAGGTCAGTTTATTTTATTTACATATATTTAATACAATCCCTATTCCTGGAGAATTCAACGAATCTAGCAAATATGTAATTTTTTTTCTTTGAAAATAATCTAACCAAGAAACTGTTGTGGACTGAAACTGTTCAACAATATCATCATCATTATCATCTTATTTAAGAGGTACACTCGCAAATACAATAACAATATCAATGATAAAAAAAATTATCAGTGGCTTTTCAAATATTGAGCACCTAATTGAAGTGTCCGTTGTAATTGTTATTATGTGACGACCTCTATGGCCTGACAGCACTAATAGCTTGCATTGTAGGAGCCGGATGAGGAAAACCCGGTTAGGTAGGAATATTTAGTTAAGTAACTTTTCTAAATTGGTTCTGGTTTGGGCGTTCTGGGAAGTTCATCTCTCTACTCCACATAGTACAGAGAATTGCTTCATTTAAGACAAGGTAACTGGTATAGTTTCGTAGCACATTGCCATTATTATTTACCAGTAGTTATTACGTTAAGTAGTGTCCTGTTTATTTTATACGTTGTAATTTAAAAAGTGGTTTTGAGCTTCTGTATTTTTTAAATTATATATTTTAATTCTAGGTATGCTGACAAATGTCGACCTAAATATTTGTTTCCAGATTATGGCTACTTATTATTATCGACATTGATTAGTTAATATCCAATATATGCATAGAATAAATTTAAAAAAATAAGAAATTGAATAAGAGATATGTACATTCGACATTGATTATCTTGCTATCCAACGCTAACAATAATTTTAAAAATATTCTAATAGGTTTATTTTCATCTACCCTCTTCAGATACTACTGGGACAAAAAAGCAAAAGATTGCTTGAAATTCACTTACGGAGGATGCGACGGCAACGAAAACAATTTTGAAACCGAAGACGCGTGCCGCGCAAAGTGCGGTCCCGGTTAGTGCATATTCAGTCTAATACATATTGTTACGCTATACACTGCTGTCAGAAGTACTAAATGAGAATAGAACCTGAACATGGCAATTATTTCGATTACACTACTCTGTAACTTTTGTAACCTTAATTTCGAGGTGTAATATAATCAAGATTTTTAAAACATTCTGTGAATATCTCTTACATTTGGCATATTTTCATAGTCGGAGTGGTTTATTAAAAAAAACACTGCTGTATTTGAATAAATGCGTGAAATCAGATAAATCGGAAAAAAATTTGAAAAAGTTTTAGCTGGCAAAGCGCGAGATAGACCGACTTCAACAGTACAGCCTTTCAATTTGTTCTCAATTATTTGCGACTGGGCGACCACCGTTCTTTTGTTACACCCATATTATGTTTCAGAATTGTTCAAATAACATTTTTTATTTATTTTCACTACAGACTACTACAGACGTTTGTAGTTTGCCTCCGGTAGTAGGACTATGTCGTGCTACTTTTCCCAGGTTACTTTGTTTTATGTTTTTACTTTAGCAAATGTACTGTAATGTAAATGTGTTCTTTATTATGTGTAAAAATTTTACGAACGTCACGGACACAAAGGCAAATGATTGCCTGAAATTCACTTACCGAGGATGCGACGGCAACGAAAACAATTTTGAAACCGAAGACTCATGCCGTGCAAAATGCAGCCCTTGTTAGTAAAACCAACATATAAATTCAGTCTAACGTCTCACAAATAACACCACTACCAAAGTATTGTATTATAGTGATGAACACAGAAACTAGATAACGCATTAATTCTGTGTGATTTACAGAGAGTTTCTCTAAGGTAGTGTTGCCACTTTACCTATTTCTGTCGCCAAGCAGTAATGTGAGCATTACTGCGTTTTGGCTTTGACGGTGAAGGTGAGGATTTTTCAACTTATGTCTGAAGGTGACAGGCACAATGGCAGTGTCCCTCAGATTTTTGAGATTTAAAGCTCGGAGTGACATTACAACTGCTGTGGATGTGACACTTACCACCATTGGCACGACCTGTTTGTCCCACCACTTTACCTTAACCCATAGGAGATACAGGGAAACTGTCCCAGGAAGCATTAGGTCTTTTTTGACATAGTAAATTTTTTGGTTTTTCATGATTACAAATGAATAATATTGACATTTCTTTGAAATGCTGATTGGCTTTGGTTTTTTGTAAGAATAATTTAATGATATTGGAAGAAAACAGGACAGTAGAAGTTGGTCAAATTGAGTAATGTGTTTAGAATAGTGTAGTATTTTTGAACTGGAACTTTGGAAATAACCCAAATTAAGATTGTTTATAACTATGAATATTTTTTTATTTGTTTTTTCCATAGCCGGAGGAGTTTTTACAAATACGCTAGATTTGGACAAGTGGGTAAAATTAACTTAACTGATAGGCGAGGTAGACCATGTTCCTCTCGTTTTCGTTCACCGCAAATCTTGACTATGTCGTACATTAATTTCCGTAGAAGTGAGAGTATGTCATTAATTAGTATGTATACCAAAGCTATTTATAAGTAAGTTAAAACATTCCATTTTGCTATAGTTATTTGTTATTTTTAGTATTACATTTAGACTATTTTGCAGAATTGTATAAGTTTTTTATTTCTTTTCAGCACCGATCATCGATATTTGTAGTTTACCCGCAGAAACAGGGCCATGTCGTGCTGCTATGCCCAGGTTAATTTGTTTTATTTGTTTTTAATTGAAAAGAATCACACCAAGAATCTAATAGCTTATCACATTGACTTACAATTATATGGACGTCGGGGTCCGCGCTAAAAAGTGTCCGAACTTGTAAGGCGTTAAAATCGTATACAGAGCGTCAAACGCCGCTTTAGTTTTCATTTGTTCGACTGACAGTGCGATACTGCGATGACATTACAATTTAAATTCAACGTTTTAGCTTTTTCATATTCCTTTACATGTCACTACGCTTAAATAGGTTGACTTGGGACATTTTTTTCGTGGTTTTTGTTTTAGACCCGTCGTCCATTTATTTGTAAGTCCATGGCTTATCAGTAGATTTTTAAAAATCGATCAACTAGTCAGACATTTGTCATTTATGACACTAATATCACTATGTAATTTATCACTTTTACAATTGGATGATCTGAAATTGCTTCTTTATAGCACTTTGTATTTTATACTCTTTATAAACCTGTACTATACCTCGTTTCTTTAGCATTGGACAGACGGCAATTTTGCGTCTTTTATAAGGCATTCTTTCATTAATAATTTCGTAAGCAAAGTAATATAAGAAATACTTACCGTGAAATAAACTTCTCAACCATATTCACTACATTTTGTAATTATTACCCACGTTGCTTTTACTCGTAGGATTCACTAAAGATTCGCGTAGGATTCAGAAAAGAAAACTTTTATCTTTTCATACTATTCTTCTTATCTTTATTGTATAATCTATTTTAAAAACTTGCACCATAAAAAAACTTAAAGTAACAGAGGTTACGAACATTAGACGATACTTTCTATAAAATAATTACACAATTATTATCGTGTCATTTATAAATGACATTTGTCATTAATTCTCACGATGTTTTCGTATACTGTCGTTGGTTGCTTGAAGAAAGAGGTTTATGATCACTGCTACTTTGTCTACGTTATAACTTCAGGAACACCAGATTACTTAATAGTTACCAGACGAACGAACAACTATACGTAGAATTTAAACTTACCATATATACAGTTCAGGCTGTTTTAATTTTCCACTTGTAGTTGCATTTTCTATTGGATATCAACATTTTTCCACTTACAAATATTTTAAGGTTTGATGCTATTCAAATATAGGCAGACGTGTGAATTGTAACTGTCTAAAATAAAAATTCATTATTTTTCCAAGGATACTGATTGAAAGAAAGAAAGACGTGGGTTCGTTAGCGTCTCAAATATTTAATGAACAAGAATTAAGAAAAGTAGTAACGTATGAGATTATTCTCATTCTCATTTGTTCGTTGATTATCATTGTTTAGTTTATTATCTAAACAATATATTTTTTAAATTCTTATAGGTAGGCATATCATAGTAGTAAAAACATCTCGACATGCAATAAGCTTCAAAATTCTAATAGGTTTGTTTTCTTTACGATTTTCAGATACTATTGGGACACACAGGCTAAAGATTGTCTGAAATTCACTTACGGAGGATGCCGCGGTAACGAAAACAATTTTGAAACTGAAGACGCATGTCGTGCAAAATGCAGCCCTCGTTAGTTCTTTCTGACTATATTATTACACTATAATACTTCTTCCAAAAATAATGAATAGTTTCTGGTTACAGCAATTAGTTAACCCACCACTTTTTGGAATTATATTTCGAGTTTTAGTACTATTTCACCCTATATACTCCTTAAAATATTGAGAAAGTTTAATAATCTTTACGCTGGGGTGGTTATTTATATAGGTGTGGTTATAAGTTCTAAGCATATATTATCTGGTGATCGTACTAATGGTAAAAACCAATTTTACTTATATTAAAAGCGGTTTTAAAATAGACGCTTATAGGAGTGGTGCCATATATACACAACTCGATTTATGTGAATAACACAAATTAAGATTTTTATCATTCTATGAATATTTTTGAAGTTTGGTTTATTTCCGAAGCTTGAGAGGTTTATACAAACACTTTAGATTTAGATTAAAAAAACATGGGTAAAATTTGTTTAACTGGAAGACGAGATGGCACAATTTCTTTAAGTCTTTCGCCGCAAGTCTTGAGTTCATCATACATTAATTTCCGTAGTTAAAAGTGGGAGTTTTAATTCAAAAATATTATTTTTCTTCAGTTGTTAGTTGTTATTAGAACGATAACTAGTAGACGTATAGTTGGTTGTTTCTATTACATTTATATTATTTATCAAAATTGTACAAGTACAGTTTTTTATTTATTTTCAGCTGACACTGATATTTGTAGTTTGCCCGCGGAAACAGGGCCATGTCGTGCTGCTATACCCAGGTTAGTTTGTTTTCATCATCGTCATCATTATCAACCCATTTACACGTCCCATAGCTGGGCACCCTTATATTGGTTCGCACCCTTGGTGTCGTGAGCATCTGCAAAATGACAACTTTTCAAGAGAGGCTTGAAATTTTGAAGAACGAAATTAGTCGATAACATTTAATGCTTAAATAAGAGAATTATAAAATTTCTGGCCAAAATAGTGTATTAACTCGAAAAGTGCATTTTCTCAGAATCGACGAAAAACAAATTACCCGCTTCCCGTGAAAAATCTGTTTAAATTTATGTATAGGTTATTTCCTACTTGCCTTGCCTTACATATACATATTTAAAAATAAATATGTATATTTATATATAATTTAATATATTCGAATAAGGACAGAAACATATCACATAAAGCGTGTGTCTTTTTGAGTTAAGTAGATATATTTTATTTGTTTTTTACAATATTCTAACGACGTATCGAGTTCTTAGGTTTTCGCGATTGTTACACATAGGCAATGAAACTATTATTCCGGGTTTAAATTTAAAATGTAAAAAATTGAATGTAGCGTAAATTGGAATGTTTTCTTTGTAAAATTAAAAATAAGGTATTTAATTAATAACTATTGTAACTATAGTGAAAAAATAGGGTGGTTTGCATCAATATTAGACATAACTGGTTGAAGACTGTACCACCTCAGTCAACCGTGACCATGGGACCTGTAAAGGGCCCGAAACGTCGGTTTGTTTGAAAAAAACAAATATACGCGATTTAAATCCGGAAAAATAGTTTCATTTCCTATAATAAACCTATTCTAACGACGGCGTGTAGAGAATCAAATTTTTATAGTTCAACAATGGTATAATCTTGAATTTCACATATTTTGAGTTATAACACTATTGTAATAGCAGTGCGATACATTTCGTGTAGTTCGGATTATTTTTATGACTTTCATGTCATGAAAGCAAGTTTGGTGTGTGATCACGTGTGCCTTTATTATAGCAAGGCTTTACAGTGAATTTTCAAAAATTGAGCACTTACCATGGGTGACAGTTGTCATTTGTTATACTAATATCACTATTGTAGTTTGTCATTTTTAGAACTGAATGACCAGAATTTGCTTTTGCATAGCACGGTATATTTTATGTCATACTCGTATGTATAATGGACCGTTTTAAGTTCACTAAGTAACACAACACCAAAGTAACGCACAACCATACATTTAATATCGCATAAAGCACAGCTCAAGCCTAGCAACCTTATTTTTCTTTTGGTTGACCGCGCACATATTGATTTGAGTATAAAAATTGTTTTAGTCGCGAATATTTTTCAGTATGACGGTTATTCAAAGACTTCGGTAAACATGTGAATTGTAATAAGTTAAAACAATCATTATTTTGCCTTGGATTCTAATTACTCTATAGAATTTCTATGTCCTATTGTTTTGAAATAATAACAAGAGCTTGGATCATTTGGTTGAGAATTAGCAGTTTTTGAACTCCCGTAATTTTTTTCATTGCATACTTTAATGGGATACATAATAATATCATTGACGTCCGTTTCTCAGCGTCTCAAATATAAGAAAGAAAATTTATAAATAAATAAATTACTTTTTTATCTAAACAATATTTTTAAAAACGTTCTAATAGGTTTATTTACTTTACTCTTTTCAGATACTATTGGGACACACAGGCAAAAGATTGTCTAAAATTCACTTACGGTGGATGCGATGGCAACAAAAATAATTTTGAAACCGAAGATTCATGCCGTGCACAGTGCAACCCTTGTTAGTTTATGTTTAGTCTTATACATTACTTATTACATTATTACACCACACCAAAAAGTAGGTACTACGATAATTAGACGGCGCAATTATGCAATATTTTTGAATCATACTTTTAGGTATAACATTAATTTTTAACATCATTAAATATTTACATTTTACTATTACATAAAACTTAGCTTTGGTAAATATTGGTGAAATTATATTAACTGGCGGGCAAGGTATACTATTTTCGTTCTAGAGTTTGCCAGAAAGTAATTTCTGTACTTAGAATGTAGGTATTAATAAATCGTTACTATTAAAAAATACTAATGTACTATTTATCTATAGTTATTTGTTATCAGACGTATTATGACGAAGTGAACTACGTTCAAACTTCATGTTATCGCCAAGCCAAATTATTGTTTAAAATTTCACAAATATTTTTTAATTCTTTTCAGCTAATACAGACGTTTGTAGTTTGCCTGCGGTAATAGGGCCATGTAAAGCTGCTATTCCCAGGTAAATTTGATGTATTTGCTTACATTTAGTTGCATCCCCTTATCATAGAGGTTAGTACGTACGAATGAAGCCAAAATGACATTTATTTTATGCAATTTTTTGCGACACAAAACTATTTGACACATTTCAAATGTCATGCCTTTTCAACAAAGTGAATAATAATAATTTATCACTGACTTTACACTGACAGTTATTACTTGGTAGGGTCACATCACTTTCAGAATTGGATGACCTGAAATTGCTTTTTTATTAAGCATTGTATTTTATGCCCTTTATAGGTTTCGCTTTAGTTTTGAAGGGTGAGGGTGCTGATGAAATTACAGGCGCAAGGGACTTTTCAAGTTAAGAATGAGGGTGACGGGCACTGTGGCAGTGCCTCTCAGATCTTTGCAATTTTAAGGTCTGAGCGGTACTGCAGCTTTTATAGACTGGCGTGTCATACCAGGCATCCATTTGTTCGTCTCCTCATATGGTATTATAAAATAAGAAAGTCCTTTATAGGTACCTTATACTAGTGTCCACTTGCTTTAATATATTGTGTTAGTTATATTGGTCTAAGACTACGTCTTATGTCCACATAATGTAAATATAATTTTAGTAACAACATCATACATGCAAACGGTTATACATTAAATATATGCTCAGTAAGTCCCACAGTTTATGCCTTAAAATCGTTTTATCCTCTCTTGTAATTGACCGTAACTTAATATCGTCGATCAAAAGGTACATTTTAGTAAGTGTATATCGAGTTTTTAGGTTTTCGCGATTGTTACACATAGGAAATGAAACTATTTTTCAGGACTTAAATCGCGTATAATTGTTTTTTCAAACAAAGCGACGTTTCGGCCCTTTACAGCTCACATGGTCACAGTTGACTGAGGTGGTACAGTCTTCAACCAGTTATGTCTAATATTGATGCAAACCACCCCATTTTTTCACTATAGTGACAATAGTTATTAATTAAATACCTTACTTTTAATTTTAATTAATAATAAATTGAACTTAATAAAAATTCATTCAATAAAATAATTTGTAAACTTAACGTAGCGTAAATGGGAATGTTTTCTTTGTAAAATTAAAAATGAGGTATTTAATTAATAACTATTGTAACTATAGTGAAAAAATAGGGTGGTTTGCATCAATATTAGACATAACTGGTTGAAGACTGTACCAGCTCAGTCAACCGTGACCATGGGACCTGTACAGGGCCCAAAACGTCGGTTTGTTTGAAAAAACAAATATACGCGATTTAAATCCGGAAAAATAGTGTCATTTCCTATTTAGTAGGTGTAACTTTGATCTAAAAACAGTAAAACGCATTTACGGAAAAACCGTTCAGTATAAAATACTTAAAACATGGTTACACAAAGTTTTAATACTACAAGTTCTTTAATGATTTTGCATAGTAAAAATACTAAATCTTCATTATTTCATTAGTAAATTTGTCTTTGAACTGAATTTTACCTTTTAACCGATTGTATTATGTTTTCTTTGAAAATTGCTTTTAGTCGCGTATATTTCTAAAGTTGATGTTTATTGCTATGTCATAAGTGATAAAAATATAAATTCATTCCCAGGATAATGATTTTTCAATAGTATGCGTCGCATTATTTGCTTACTTTGATGTCTCACGTCAGCAATAACTTTAAAAATAATGTAGTAGGTTGATTTTCATTTCTCCTAATTGATATTCAATTGTTTCTATGTGAAATTACTCTACTAGTTTCATTGACTTACAATTATATGGACGTCGGGTCCGCGCTAAAAAGTGTCCGCACTTGTAAGGCGCTAAAATCGTATACAGAGCGCGACACTCCGCTTTAGTCTTCATTTGTTCCACTGACAGCGCGATACTGCGATGACATTACGATTTAAATTTCGAATAGGTTGACTTAGGACATTTTTTTCGTGGTTTTTGTATTAGACCCGTCGTCCATTTATTTGTAAGTCAATGACTAGTTTGTTATAATTATTAATACAAAGATCGAACACTCAGAAAAAATTCCTTCGATCCGTCCAGATTCGAACTGACTTCTTCGTCTTTTATTTTTCCTTTTCAGATACTACTGGGACACAAAAGCGAAAGATTGCCTAAAATTCACTTACGGAGGATGCAACGGCAATGAAAACAATTTTGAAACCGAAGACTCATGCCGTGCAAAGTGCAGCCCTTGTTAGTAAAAACAAAATATAAATTCAGTGTAGTCAGTAACATCGTATAAATAAACCTTTGCCAAAGTATCGTATTACAAAGACGAAAACAGCATTTCGATAACTCATTAATGCTGTGTGATTTTCAAACTGTGACACTATGGGGTATATTATTTAGTAGGAGTAGAGCTACTTGTCAAAGAGTTCGTCTGGGGAAGTACTGCCTCCTTACCTATTTCTGCCGCCAAACAATAATAAAGCTAAGGGTACTGGTAAAATTACTGGCATATGGGACTTTTCAACTTGTTTATGTGTGACTATAACAGGTTTTTGCGATTTAAAGCAGCTGTGGACGTGACACTTACCATCATTCCCACGACTTGTTTCTCCCGGCACTTGGTTCGCCCGAACCCATAGGAGACTGTATTAGGAACCATTAGATATTTTTTGATATAGTCGATTTATTGGTCATACTTGATTTACCCATAAACATGAATAATATTGACCATTTTTTAAAATGCTAATTGACTTGGTTTTTTGTCAGAATTATTCATTATATTGAAAGGAAACAAGTAGAAGTTGTTTTTTTTTATAAAATATAAGTGCGCATTTGACCTCCATCTCACCTGATGGAAAGTGACAATGAGGTCGAGAATGTAGTAAATAATGCCTATTCACTCTCGCCTTGAAAAGGTCTAAGTTACAGCGTTCGGGGAACAAGTCTGCAGGCAGGGAATTCCACTCCCTAACCGCTCGCAATTACAAATTAATGTGGAATCCGGGGAATTGAGTAAAATGTTTAGAATAGTATAGTATTGTGGAGCTGGAATTTTCGAACCGCATCTCTTGAATTTGTCATAAATTAATTTCCGTTCTTAGAATTAGAAGTGAGAGTATATCTTTAGTATGGGGACCAAAGCTATTAATTAATAAGTGAATTAAAAAAATATATTTTTCTACCGTTATTTGTTAGTTTTAGTAGGAAAACTACATGAAGTACGGTTTGACTTTTTTTTTGTATCATTTTTCAGAATTGTATAAGTCTTTTTTTTCAGCGTACACTGACATTTGCAGTTTGCCCGCAGAAACAGGGCCATGTCGTGCTGCTTTTCCCAGGCTAGTTTGTTTTATTTGTTTTTATTTAAAAATAATCCCACCGAAAAACTAACAGCTTGCCATTGGATTTTCAAAAACCATGTACCTAGTCTGAGTAACAGTTGTCATTTATTACACTAATATCACTATGTAATTTATCACTTTTAGAATTGAATGACTAGAAACTGCTTCTTTATAGCACGTTGTATTTTATGCTCTATATAAACCTTTTGCTTTACTTCGTTTTTTGTAGCATTAAACAGAAGGCAAATTTAGGCAAATTTATTTAAAGGCGCCTTTTAAAAGACGCAATTTCGTAAACAAAAAATATATAAATACCGTAAAACAAAATTCTCAACCATATTCACTACGGTTTGTAATTATTATATATATTTCACTAAAGATTAAAAGAAAACTTTTGTTCTATCTTTGTATATGCATATAGAGTCTGAACTTTTACAATAACAATAATAACATATTTTTAGAGACCCCCCCATGCTAGCGTACTGCGTCTTCCGAGCATCAGCGTCTTGCCTTACCGCGACGCAACCGTCATCGTCAGCGCGGCGTATATTCTCCGTTAATAATAATACTAGTACCGTTGCGTCGTCGCCGATGCGCGGGCGTCTCGTGTCAACGCTGCACAACACGCGTTGCGTTGGCAAGACACTGACGTTCGAAAGGCGCCAGTGGCAGTGTGGGGGGTCTCTTACATTTACTGTAATTGGTTGCCCGAAGAAGGGGGTTTATGATCACTGTTTCTTTCTTAACGTTATAACTTCTGTAACATACACAGAACAGAACAAATTGAATATAAAGTCAGTGTTGTACAGTTCAGGCGGTTTTTCTATTCACTTTTAAGTGATCGCACATACATATATCGTATTTGGCATTAGTCAGGAATATTTTTAAGTTTGATGCTTATCAAATATAGGTAGGCGTGTAAATTGTGACTATTTAAAATAAAAAATCATTATTTTTCCAAGGATACTGATTGCAAGAAAGAAAGACGTAAGTTAGTTAGTGTTTCAAATATATATTACAATCAAAATGGATTAAGAAAAGTAATGACATAATAAATATAATGAGAATAAGTTAATTAACAGTGTTTAGTCTAGTATCCAAACATTTTTTTTTAAATTCTAATAGGTAGGCCTATCATAAGTAGTAAAACATCTCGATATTCAATAAGATTCAAAATTCTAATAGGTTTGTTTTCTTTACACCTTTCAGATACTATTGGGATACACAGGCTAAAGATTGTCTGAAATTCACTTACGGAGGATGCCGCGGCAACGAAAACAATTTTGAAACTGAAGACGCCTGTCGTGCAAAATGCAGCCCTTCTTAGTTCCTTCTGACTACATTATTACACTATAATACTTCTTTTAAAAATAATAAATGGTTTCTGGAGACACGCGACTAGATAACGCAACCATATAAAATTTGGGAACTGTACTTCGAGTTTTAATACTATTTTACCCTATGTACCTACTCCTTAAATGAGAAAGAGAAAGTTGAGAAAGTGTGATTTCTTCGCTGGGGTTGTTATGTAAAATGTGGTTATAAGTTCTACGCATATTGTACTAGATGGTGATCGTACTAATGGTAAAAACAGTTTTATCTACACACATATCATAAACCTTCTCAGACGTGTTCAAAAACAACAATAAAGATCAACATAAAGACAAATTGTGTCGTTAGAACAAATTTCTTATCTCTGAAAATGTTGTTATTGCTTAGCATTAAATTCGATTTTATTATTAAATTCAAATTTCGAACATCTCTGAAAAACAAAACAATTTGATTCGACCTCAATTCCAATTCCATCCTCTAAGATTCCAATATCAGTCGAGATGAAGTTTTATTCGAAATGAATGTCAATAGCAAACAATTTTGACTCTAGTTTGTCCATGGATTAAATAAAAACTACAGTTGTGTGACACGCGTGAGGAAAGCTTTTATTTGCCGCCATTTCGCCACTCGTAACATACAGTTCCTGAACACATCACAGAGAGCTTATAATATGTGTATAGATAAGCAGTGTATGTAACTGTACATAATTAGAACATAAACCAACACTCTTAATGCCTTTCCGTGTGTAACATTCACATAAACTGCTATTAGTTATAATAAGAGCGCCTATAAATTAGAGGCTTATAGAAGTGCCGCAGTGGCGCCACTACTAATTTTCATACGACTTATTTTCATTCATTTTCAAATGAATTATTTTCATAATATTTTGTATTAAAATAATTCATTTAAAAAACTGCCGCGGCGCGAGATTATCATATGATTTTTAAATGTTAAAATGTGAAAAAAGAAACGAGTATTTGTTTTTCACGCAAATCGTACCAGTAGACTTTTAATTCAATTTAATGTGCACATAAAACTTTAGTGACAGCCGTCATTTATTATTGGTAAAGGATTAATTTTGTCTTCCTTAAGACTTGGCCCAAAGACGTCCCTCAAGTACTATCATATACTTTTGAATAAAAAAATATGGCGAATTCATAAAAAAAAAAAAATTTATTAATCACTTGTAACGCTCTAAATTATCGTTCGAACATATAAATGACTGGGAACCATTGGACGTCAGGTTCGCGCTAAAAAGTGTCCGCACCCATAGGGCGTTAAAATCGCATACAGAGCGTTAATCGCGCAACAGTCTTGTTTCGACTGACAGCGCGGTTGTCACTCATGCAGTACCATATAATAATAACTAAAAATTACTGCAGTAAAGTGTAAAAACAGTATTTTGTACCATATTTTCACTAAAAATATATATTGTGTTATCATAGTTCTCATTTAAAAGTGTTATTTTGTACGGTTTTATAGTATTTAAATGTTGTTGTATTTAAATGTAAATATAAATTACAAAAGCACACTAAATAATTAAATAGCTAACTGTCCTTTTTCTACACATTGCATGTGCAAAAGATGGAAAGAGACCCATTATGTCAATTTCAAGAAGCTTATATAAACTTCTGGTCATTTTCAATTGTTCGAACTACAAGCGATTGAAATATTTAGAATAAAGAAACTATAGAGTCGCTTTGATTTTAATCTTATTTTTAAAATAATTTTTTTATTAAACGTTAGCAATAACTAACAAAATATTGTTGTACTCGTTTTACGGCTTGGGATTACTTATCAGAAGTCAGAAAATACATTTGCCCGAAATAACAATAGCTCAAATTTTCATAATGTCAAATGCATTTTTAGGAAGATTACAAAACAAAAGCTGATTTTGTCTTTGCGAAAAGCATCAAAGTTCTCAAACTCGAAAGCATGACGGTTTTATTGCAAATCGGTTGTCGGTATTACAGATATTTGAGTTTACGTTTAGTTGGAATATCGGTACATTTATTATAGTACACGCTAATTTTCACATTTGTAGGAATATTTGTATATATATTACTTGTATTGTGTTGTAATGTGGTGATGAGAAATAAAAATAAATACTCTTGTTTGCAGCTCTTTGGTTTTTACATTTCCCATTAGCAAAACCACACGAAAACTTGAAAAGTTAGAGAAAGGTTAAATATTGATAATATTAATACATCGAAGTTGTTTAAATATTAATAATATTGGTAGACTACGCCGTCGACCTGAGACGCAGACTTGGGGAACGCCTACGCAACGCACTGTGGAACACTCTTAATTGAAGATCTGTGACATCGTAGCTGCCAAGCGGGTATCTCACGCGTGTAAAGACGTTGGAAGGACAAGGGAAAGACCGCCCGATTGCGTTCGATTAGCGCGCGCGCAATCGTGCACACCAGCACGCGCCAGTCGCATGCGGTCTATCTTGCGCCGTTAGCCTTTATCTTTCCGTTGTAACAAAAACGAGCACGACCAATTGCGCGCGAAAGAACGTTAGCTTAAAAAATTTCAAACAGGTAATCGTACGATTGCGTTTTTAAAATTTTAAATAAGATCATCAAGCAACTTTTGTTTTTATTTCGATTGGTACCTACTCTTCCATATGTCGCAAATTAATGTGTTTATTCAAATTAACCAACGTTACAGTTTTTGTACAGGTCCCATGGTCACAGCTGACTAAATGTGCAGTTGTGCTAATATGAACGAATTATATCAAAACATTGACGTCAATTAAGTACCTACGACAAAATAGTTTTTTTACTTGAACCTACATCCCTCTCTCCCCACCCTCCCTACCGACCTTTAGGGTGTACGAGAAGGGCACTATGAACTGTGCAAGCAAAAAGTCCCTGCCTTTTAAGTTCAGGTTCTGACCTCAGATCAGCCAATGTACAGGGTTGTCACAGATCGTTGTCACTTAGTACATCCTGTTTTCAAAAGGCTAGTGCCTTGGGTGAGCTGCCCCGGGAGCACTCTCCTTATTTTCCAGATGAGTACCAGAGTTGTAGGCACGTTCACTTCCCATTGCGCATTGCGCAACTACCGGTTGGCACCGCTAAGCCGTTGACTCTAAAATCCAACGTGACGTGACGTCTCTCCAGTTCCCAGGATCGGAATCGGAGGATCGGAAAATATCTAGTTTATCCTCTACTAGCTCTCCGAACTAGTACCGGAGATGCCGGTCGTAGCGTCCTGGGACAATGTCCGTACATTCGTACCCCGCGCGTCTCATCGCCTAAGGCCTTCAAGTAGACCGATACTAAGTGTCGTATTCCAGAACTCTACTCAATACTCAAGTCAGGACTTGAGTATTGCAGTGAGCAATAAAAATCATACTCAAGTCCTTGCCATTAGGGTCGTATTTCCAGTGCTTGAAATCATACTCAAGCCTGCTCAAATCCTGACTTGAGCATTGAGTAGAGTTCTGGAATACGACCCTAAGACGCGATAACTTCCAGATAGGCACTATAAGCATGCTCACTCGCACACTGGGACAGTTGCTTTAGCTGTACCAAGCACTAGTGCGGTCGTGTATGTACCGCCGCTACCTACAGGATGGTTCTGCTAAATACCAACTGGTCATCTTGGATTTTGTTAAAAAGCGTGTTAAGGCTTATAGGGGAAGGCTTATTTAGTAGAGGCAAAGCTGCAGACCTTGAACATCGCCGTAAAGTTGGCTGCTTTTGGGTGTGCGATGGAAAATCATGAAATAATCCCGCCATCCCCTTTACACTATCGGAGGATTAGTCGTAGGCTGGCGTTTCACCCCTGTGTTGTGGATATACTCAAGATTCGCATGAAGGGTTATGCTTCCACGTCTATTTTACGACTTATTCCTTGCACGCTATCACTTGGGCCTTTTCAAGGCAAGAAGGAATAGGTATTATTTAGGTGTATCATCACTCACACCATTATCAACCTCATTGTCATTTTCCATCAGATCTAAAACCTTAGATGTTTATACTACAATAGACAGTAACTGTGGAGCTCCGTGTGAAAGGGTTCTCCCAGGGAAATAATGCCACTGTACCTATTTCTCTGAGTTCCAGTTTCGAAGGGTAAGGACGCTGGTGAAATGAAAGAACTTGTCAACTTTTGTCTAAGGGTAACAGGCACCTAAGATCTTTGCGATTAAAAACTCTAAGTGACAGTGCAACTGTTATGGATAGGCGTGTCGCCTACCAC